AGGAGTCATAATCCCAAAACTATGTCGCAACCAATGCCAGCGGGTGAAAAGAGGAAATTGGGTGGAAAGTAGGCATTAAGGAAAATATTGCACATTTGTATGGGATTTTGAGATGAAATAGATATTTACAAGACCATTCAGTGCTGTTTCCAGCCCTGCCCCTCTTAACGCCGAAAACCGTCTAGTTTCTAAACTACACCCTCTCGAAGGTGTGCAGACTATTCCGGCCAGAATGCTTCAAGGCATTCAGGCATGAGTGACGCCACGACAGTGTTTTTGAAATTCTGCCACCCCACGAGCCAGGCGGCATTCGAGGAAGGATATGATCATCCAGCCGTTCAGATCTGATGTCTGTGAGCGCGATTTCCAAATATAGCGGACGTCAATTGGCCGTCTAACAATGCTTCTCAAGCTGTGTAAGCTTCAGTCATAAAACATTTTTTTCGCCACACAAATCAAGCGATTGGGATAGTTTCTCCACTTGCTAACTATTGCAGAAGTAAGACTTGTAATAACTGAGAAATGAGGGATAGTGCCATAACCGAGTAAGTGAGTAAAAATGCACATCTTAAGCTTACGGATAGACAAGCAAGAACATCACTAGAAAAAGTTAAAACGCCAGCTCATAACGATATTTGGCTCAGCAAACACTTGCCAGATCTCGGCGCCATCTCTGGACGAGTTTGAAGTACAGAAGTTTCGAGTGGGTGGCAATTTCGCACGGGTAGTTTGGCAGTACCTCAACGTCATAAACTGTTCCATGTCGTAATAAAACAATGGCGCATTGAGGGGGACGCTTACTAAATAGAGAATTATCGTTGTTTAGAACAGTTTTTCCATTTAAAAGTACAACAATAGTTATGAGTGAGTTTTTGTCGTCATATCAGATGCTTGCTTCAAATCTTCAGATGTGGAGCATTCCCTTTAACTGTCGGCCACAGTACCTGTGTCCACTCCTAGTGACTTACAGTTTGCATATCCTGTGTGTATCTGTGTCATAGCGAATCCCATTTTCCAAAGGAGAGGAAGTAGGCCCACGTGATATAACCTGGGCCTACCGAGCCGATCGCCGTCAGTTAATGGTTTGCTGTTTGCGGCAGCGGTCACTGCATGCTGTAATGACCACTCTCTGGCAGGGGTGTGAGACAGCCGGCGGCGGGCCGCGTGCCAGGGGTGTCAGATGACCGGCCGTGCGTCGCGTGACAAGGGTGTCAGACGGACGTCCACGTGCCGCGTGTTAGGGGTGACAGACAGCACATGAAAGTCCCTTTGACATGACCTGACACGTTACAGGCCACGTGAGTCGACATTCCCTAGTGCCTATCTGATAGTTTTCGAAGGGCTCCTCTTCGTTGTGTCTTAATGGCACAATGACTAAGCTATGTCTGATGTGTGGGTCAAGCTATATGGCTTGAACTATAGCTTGAACTCAATCTAATGGCTCAAACTATATCTGGTGTGTTGATGAAGCATGACGTGACATGACGCTCTAACATGACGTGGAACCTTTCTAGCACTCGCACGAGTGGCCAGTGAGATGCGATGCGCTCTGGTAGGGGAGGGGAGAGCGCAATTTTCCCTCCCCTCCTGTGAGATCTAAAAGGTAGGGAGCTTGAGGTACTTAACTTACAGAGCATATATGTAAGCATCGATGTGAGCGTTTCGTGGGAAACAGTTAGATATCTAGGCCAATGCCGTTGGGTCAGACAAGGCCGACCAATGGTATGCTTTGATGAATTCGTTGTAAATTTGCCTGTACATATGACAATTGCTGGAGAAACCCGGATAATGCATTTAATATTGCTCGCACATAACAATGACATAGTGTTTGGGTATCAGGGATGTCCTCTACATTTATTAGAGGATTTAGCCTGATATTTTTGAGTGGATGTCTTCCTGGGATCAGACTCCATACTAAGCAGCACTTGTCGCATAAACCCAGACTTCTCTCATCAGATCGTAAAATTCCAGATCAACAGCAGAATTTGGTGGCGAAATGTTAAGGTGGCTTCATGCTCGGCAAAGTCCGTCCTGCCCTCTGAAGTCAACTGACTTTTAGTGCGGTCTCTGCTGCGGGCCACAGGCCATTCCAGTCAGGGACAAACAGCGAGCGCCTAGAGGAACTCGAACCCACTCCGCCACGGGTAAGTGCATGGGAGTGCGGGCAGGTGGTCAGTGCGCCTAGTCAGACCAACTGAGCTAGTGCGACTGAGAATTTTTAGAATATCTTTAATTCATTTGTATCAGGTCTATTGTATTCGTTTTCATTGCAATCGTTTGGTGATTTTGCTTCTCTGTTCTGTCGATGTTATGTCAAATGACTAGGAGTGGACCAAAATCAGTGTTCAAACAGAGCTCAAAGCTTGTCACGCAGACTTTTGGAGCCTAGAGACATTTTGCAGGCAAAGGTCATTCGGGGTCATCTCAGATCACTGGCGTGATCTGGGCTTTAGAAATTAAAATATCTTTCAGAGAAGTTGTGTTGTTTTAATACGCACCCGGATGGCCGGCTATATACCCTTCGCTCGGGTGGGGGGTCACAGGGGTGTCACCCCTGTGATCTCGAGAACTAAGAAAGATAGAGACACCAAATTTTCAGGGTGTCTTGACCTGTACGTGAACTCACTTAGGTCGAAGCTTGAGCTTCATAGGTCATGATCTTCAGGTCAATTAAGGTCAAACAAGGTCAAATTCCAGGTTGGTCTCCAAAGTGCCCCAAGAATCTAGGCAACTGTTTCTAAGCAAAAGGTCAAAAGCCCATTTGAGATCAGTGATCTTGTTTGACCTTTCGAAGGTCATGGTGACCAAAACAATGCAGGGCTGTTTTTTTAGTTTTGCATTTGAATAAGCGACAAAGATTACGCCAGGCAGTACGTTCCTAAAACAAAATGTCGACCCGGGTCATCTTAGGTCAATGACCTTTTCTGACCTCTACGAAGTCAATGGACTGTGTATAATGTGGTTCCTGCTGTCAATATATTACAAATGAGCACCAAACTATCCCATACAGCAAGCCCTAGAGTACTAAATCAGATTGTTTGTGACCTTGGTCTGACCTTCATACTTGACCTAAGGCCAACGTAACTTGCTCATTCAATATTTGTGGCGCCTAAAAAAGCACCTCAGAGATGTATGGCTCGTCAAACACTCCGTTATTGTATCCGATTAGACGATTCCCTGGAAATTGCCTTCGCCGAAACCATGGCCTGACTTTGAACTGCCATAGGTCAGCGACCTGACAAGACACATCTAAATTTGTGATGTCAAACGATTTGCTATTCAATTGTCTACGGCCATGCAAAATTTGGCGTGGCTACGCCGCGCCGTTTAGAAACCATTTTGGAAAACCTTCTGGGGGGGTCATTTTGATCCTCCACCCGAGCGCATGTTAATTTAAAATCGGCGTCAATATCTATCTCTAGTCGGCAAGTTTTTTTGTTTGAGCATCAGGGTGATCGAGGTCATTTTCGGTCAGCGACTACCACGATCTTTACGAAGTCCACGAAAGAAACAGGCTCAGATCTTTGTGATCAACGAAGTTGGAATGAACGTAATTATCAAGTTTCCCGCACCCCATAAAGCAACTTAACAGGTAACAAAAGCTGACTTTGTAACCTTCATCACCGACCAAAGCTAAATGCAGCAGTTTTAAGCCTGATATCAGTTGATTTTCAATACAAAAAAGTCATGTCAAAGTTGTATGATGGCCGCGCAACCAGTAGTATCACGGAAACATGGCGTTTTATTGATAACGTTATGGCTAGATCAGCGGAACAAAACATCACAAAAACGACAAATTCCGCATTTCTTCTCACTGCGGGCCAGCAAACATGCCTTCTAGCACCCTACGTTTTTCCTAGTTTTAGACAAACAGTTGTAAAATGTTCCTAGAGGGGCAAATTCCTATGTTTTGTGTTTTTGTTTCGTTGTTGTTGAGTTGTTTTGTTGTTGTTGAGTGTTTTTGTTGTTGTTGTTTTGTTGAGTATGTTTTGACGTGTTGGGGAAAGTTCACACTCTCTGTGTGACAAAAAAAGCCTCAACACTTCAAGACATTAGACAGTTGAAATGATCTCGTTTAAGCTTGATCATTATAACAAATTGCCAGCCGTATCCGTCTAAAACCCATTTTGAAGCGGGGTTATTCATTATCTAGCTATGCTTTATCATCCGATCACGAAATCGTCCCAGGTATAATATTGAAACTGCGTGACGTTTTGTGACCACCGGTCCGGCGTATCCTGACAACATATTGCAACCTACAATGTCCAGTAACGACTCCAAGCTTGATTGCGAGCACGTCAGAATAACTGTCAGTCTTTTAAGAAGCATGCTTTGACAGGCTCATCCTTGCAACCGAAAACCGATGCGTGAATGAAACTCACTTTTACGCAATGAAATATCTCATGTGTAGAATGTACAAGGTGTAGAATGTCGTATTACTAAAGACGAATGAGTGTGGTATGGCAGGATGTTGATATCATGATGAACGTACGTTGGCTTTGGTGCAATGACTGTTGTTTACGTATACTATATGTGTGAATATGCAATATAGTATGGTCAGACGGCGTTGCACCTGTGAGCTGAACTGGTACATGGTGTCGGTGGTCCGAGCCGCACAGCCTGATCTCCGGTATAACGCCACTCGATGTCTCGTGAGCCTCGATAGAGCAGATGAGTTAGCGCATCGCAGCATGTTCGTAGGTATGAGTAGATTGTCTTTTCCAAACAAGTCGCATGTTGCCAGCTGTTGTGGTTGGAGTGCTCGTTCCGTGACCGGAAGATTATGACTTCGATTTCTACGTGCTGCATAAATTGATTTTAAGCGTGATGTCCGTTTTTGTGGAGTGTAATCTTAGTAGTACGAACGGTTACAAAAGTTCAAAAGGAAAAGTCTATGAATAGTAAGATCTTTCGATAAGTGGCTTAAGTGGTGCGTTCCACTCCCATCCAAGATCCACGGTGTGTTTTCATATGGTGTACTGCTCGCCGTTAACACGCCATTCATTTTCACTCATAGTTTATTGACAATAACAACAACAAAGGGAGTATCGAAGAACAGAGGTTACAGCCTTTGTACACAGTGAATATCTTCAACCATGATCATAGAAGGCTCCAGCAGATCAATGGAGTCTCGAGTCGAAACAAAGATTAGACTCTAACGGACGGAGCATCCATTTAAAGCCAAACTCCAAGCACCATGAATATACTTGACAGGCCCAGGTACCAGCCTAAGTACCTAATCTCCACCCAGCTGTGTTCCATCTCAGTTGCACATAGCGCGTCCTGCCGGCTTCTGGGGACGTGCGGCCACCTCCTCCTTCAAGGTACACATCACCTCCTCACACCTCCTCAATGCAGATGGACACGTGACCATGTACTACCGGTGCCCGATCTCGTGATCACCTTCGACTGGGGTCATCATGGGCTTCAGACAGCCCCAGTGTCTGAAGTGGTGGTGGCTTCAGACAGCCCGAGTGTCTGAAGTGGTGGTGGTGTCAGACAGCCCGAGTGTCTGAAGTGGTGGTGGTGTCAGACAGCCCGAGTGTCTGAAGTGGTGGTGGTGTCAGACAGCCCGAGTGTCTGAAGTGGTGGTGGTGTCAGACAGCCCGAGTGTCTGAAGTGGTGGTGGTGTCAGACAGCCCGGGTGTCCGATGGTGGTGATGCGTTCGCCGTGTGAGGCTCACAAACAAAACAAGAACAAATGAACAGCGTGCAAAGCGGCCCTCGCCACTGCGGGTACGGTGTAGCGAAAACCTGGACTTGCCAATGCTGCTATCCGCGCGACTTGCGGGTGCCCGCTAATATCACAATGTTAATATCATAGGTGCCTGCCCTATGTTACTGCCCGCATATGTGCAAAACAACGAGGGAGCTCTACTCGGAAGAGTTATAAATCGGTAAGTATTATGTAGAATAGCAACGAGAGACCTCAGCCACCTACGCAGAAGCTAGGTTATCGGCCCTGCTCTTAACCACGAAAAAATAAATACAAATATTCGGCTTGTTGTCGAGTGGGCCCGGCACTAGCCAGTCGCCTTTCCGACGGAAGACGATGAGCAGGGGTCGGGTGGATCGGTGGGATGGGAGCAGACCCATCGACGGAGATCAAGTTCTGGAGATCACAGCCAGCAGTTCGAGATGAATGGGGCCTTTAGCATTGCGATTCTGCAGAAACTGATAACTAGAAAACGCCTAGGTGTGAGCGCCAGCGACGCCCGCGCAACAGCACGGGAACCATACTGACATGGGGGTGAATTCGGCGCTGCGGTGGTTCGGTTTGTCAGAGCAACTTTACGTTTTGTGCCGAGGATGTGACGCTGGGCTATTTCCTTACGTGATGCCAGCACTGACGAGCGTTTCCGCCAGCGGACGCCAGTCAGCTCACGCCGACGCCCGTTCCCTGAAGGCGATCTTGAACGAGTCGACGGGTAGCGCCAGGCAGCCGGGCCGCATGTGCTCCTCCACCATGCGCATGTTTTCGGGGTCCTCCGGCAGCAGTACATCAAACTTGGACAGGATGGTGCCCACCGTGAGGAAGGCAATGTTGGCTAGCATCTTGGAGCCCATGCAACTGCGTTTGCCGGTGGAGAAGGGCAGAAAGTGCGACGGCTTCACCATGACACCGTTCCGCACAAACCGGGCCGGGTTGAACTTTTCTGGCTCTGACCACAGCTGCGGACTCATGTTCAGCTCGTAGTTGTTGATAAAGACGATGGCACCCTGGTGAACGTCGTAGCCGCCGATGGTGGAGTCGCGCGAGGCCACGTGCGGCACGATGGGACTTGAGCAGACGCGCAGCGCCTCGTACATTGTGCTCTCCGTGTAAGGCAGGCTGGGCCGATCCTCTAGACACAGCTGTCTGTCTCCGATGCGCTCGTCCAGCTCCTCCTGAATCTTGACCATCACGTCTGGATTCCGGGCAATCTGGGAAAGACGGGAGTGGGAATGTCTAGCTGGAGCTATTGGTTATGCCATGCTCACCCTCTTCTCTGCTGTCGCATGGATCTAAAATTCGCGAAAATTGTTCATTAGAGTTCAGCGCTTGACAAAGCAGTTGCAGGGGAATGCTTAAAAACCATTAAGCTTTGGGAAATTTCCAAACAGGAAGATGTCTTTACATATCTCATCTATGTGAAGATCTCTTCCTTTTAACCGCTAGTCCGCGTGTAATGACAGAGAATCGGCCAATGACGACATTCCGCCAAGCGCAACCGGTCGTCGTGAGGCGACTTAATCCGGATGTTTACCTGTGTGATAGTCTGCATGATGATGTTGCCGACTGCGGAGTGGCCTCCGAGGAAGTCCTCCAGCTCATACAGCGCTGTCGTCTCCGAGATTTGCTCGTGCTCTCCCTCTTGAGTCTGGAAGCGAGACACCGAAAGTGGTGCGGGACGTCCGGAAGTCGTTGATAAATCGTTTCAAGACCCTTTCGTTTGAGTACACCTGAGACTTTTGTCTACAAATTTCGCCATTGAGCAGTTAGTTGATGTCATAAAACACGCAGTAGATGTCATGTAGCTTGTTATCTTAGTGTTTTTCTTTTTGTAGTTTGACGCTCAGCTCTAAAAAACCCTGAGGAACGACATTGCTTTCCGGCTATGACCAGTCATGCAAATATCAAGTTTCAAAGCAGTATGAAACGGTGATATGCGGTACAAAACTCCATACTGACTTACGTTCATACGTCGGAGCAGCATGTCAACAAAGTCCCTGGGGCTGTCGTAGTCGATGGTCTTCTTGTGGTGGCTGACAATCCTGTCGTTGATGAACTGCCGGATGCTGCTAGAAAGCTGCTGTAGATTCCTGAGCGCCCCCATGCGGAAGATCTTGAGCCACTCGATGAAGTCCATCGCATAGCCCTGGTTGATGTCCCAGAAGATCTCGTCAAAGTTGCGCACGAGCTTCTGGTATTCGGGGTCGTGCATGTCGAACTTGAAGGAGCAGAGGTAGTCGCTGAAGATGTTGCAGGACACCGTCTGGATGAATGGCTTGAAGGCCATGGGTCGGCCGCGCGTTTCTCGCAGCATTTTCTCGACACTGGTCAACTCGGATAGAATCGAGTCGTTCAACATCTGGAAGACGTCGGTGCCGGGCCGCACGTGCATGAAGAAGCGCGCCACGTTCCGCCGCGACACCTGCTTCTTGGACCAGTCGCAGAGCGCCAGAGCTGCAAACAAAGACACGCGCCTTCGGTGGAGGCCGTTGCACGGATGTACCGTTGTTTATCCTGCCGCGTTCCACTCAGCCGACTTTTAAAGAGCAAAAACGCCGCTGCACCCGGCTGCTCCCATGGGCCGAGATGGTATCTGGGCGGGATGCGCGGCCCTCCCGGAGCGGCGGCGGCCCACCCGGCCGAGTCGACATCGGCCGCGCCGCGGGCGGGGGTGGGCCCGCCACCGGCCGGTGGCCGTGACCGGGCCGCGTCACCGTCCAATGAATGGGAGGAAGCGTCGGCGAGCCGGGTGGCGGCGTCGCGGGCTGCTCTCGCCAGCCCGGCGTCCGGCAGTCTCGACCGCGGCCCCACCCCCTCCGTCTAATGGGCGCCGCATTCCGCCACATCTCCGACCGATAACCGGCCCGGCTTCAAACGGCCCGCAGCGCCATTAGTTCTGCGTGGCGGGCGGCCAGACGCCGCTCGCGCCCACCTGGGCCCGTTTCAAGTTCAGCCGAGCTAGTTTGGACGGCTGGACGCGGCTGCCGGCCTGGCAACAGAAGCGGCCGTCGCTCGGAGGTCACGTTCGAACGTTTTACGACTGGGTCACAGACGTCTTTATTTCCCATGGCTACGGGCAGGCCGCGTGCTAAGGCTTCTGCTGCATGTATATCGTCCTGGCGCAGACATCCTAGCCCTTGCGAGTTTGCAAGATGAGAGCATAAATCAAGAGGCTGTCTGTGAGCTCCGCGCACCTGCAGACGGGCGACGGTCATGGAATTTCTAAGGTCAGCCAAACGTCTGGCTCGTTAAATCGGCGCAGGGATTCGCATTATCATCGAGCATGGAAGCATGGGAATTTCCGCGAAGTCCGAACTCCGTGAACGCCCATGGTTCGCTGGTTTCGCTGCAGCATATCAGCGGCCACCGGCGAGTGTAATTTTGCGCCGGAGGCATGGGGAGCAGCCGACGCGAATCCGCAAGTCAGCCGCACAACCGCCACCTAGCGGCCCGGTCCGCCCCTCGCAGTCGCCGACGGGGCACGGCGTGGAAATCCCCGGCTGGCCCGTCTGTCACAGCGCAGGCGTCCTCTGACAGAGGTCTGTCAGAGGTCACGTCCCACTGGATTCGGTTGCCGTATTTCCGGATTGCTCCGATGCGTATCACTGTGTTGCGGCCGGCGGTCGGCTGGGTGCCGGCAGCCGCCGTCTTGTCGGCCCACCCATCAAACCCGTTCTGGGCGGCTCATCGGCGTTGCGTCCTCCCGGACCGGTGCGTCGCCGAGGCGGCCTCCCGGCGGCCGCGCGCGCGCCCCGGCGCCTCCGAAAACCTTGGGCACCGTGCCAACTGTAACGAAGACCCGCTACACCGCAAATAGTGCCATTATGATGACTCAACGCTGGCGTGGCGGCGTCACTGAGTGCTGCCGGCCCGTCCCGGTGGATGGAGCGGTGCGGGAAGCGGCCAGAGGGGAGAGCTACTTCACATATCAAAAATAAACAACTAATGTCGACCTTCCAATCTAAAACAAGTTTGGCGTCAACCACGTATGGTACGTGGTACCGCAAGGTCAGGTAGAATATGATTACAAAAGCGTTGCCGCCTTCCCCGACTCTGTTCCGGTTGTGACGTCCCTGCGATAGTGGAACTGACCGGGAGCCCAGAGGGAGGGAAAACCGCCTCAGGGCGGGCTGGAGTCAACTCCCCTGAGAGACGAGCGGTCATGGACACCGCCTGAGCGGTCGGGGGACGCCACCGCGTCCTCAAGGTCGCCACAGCGCCCGCCGATGCAGCCGCGGGCGCCGACCGAGCAACGTAAACAAACGTAAACTTGACCTTCGTGACGGGACTGACACGCTGCAGCCGGCGGGGGAGCGGCGCCGCCGCCGCCGCCGCCGCCGCCGCCGCCGCCGCCTCGCCGGAAATGCCGCACCGCGCCGCGCCAGACGCCGCCGAGGTCACAGTCTGCCCCGCCGTCGGCGGTGTTCTCCGCGAACCCATGCCCACGGCGCCCCTCGCCCGCCCGCCTCACACGAGATACTCACAGTTATCACGGTCGCCGCCAAACAGCTGGTGGTAGCGCAGGAAGTTGGGCCTGCCGTCGAAGTGGTCGCCCTTGGTGACGAGCACCTCGCGAATGCTGGCCATGTCGTTGACGACGACGGCCTCGGTGCCGCCCAGACGGAGGCCGTAGACGGCGCCGAAGCGGCGGCTCAGATCTGTCATGCACTCGTATGGGTTGGTTTTGAGGCCGAGCTGGACCATGTTGCCGATGACAGGGAGACCCCACGGTCGCGGCGGCAGGTGGCCGGTGGTGCCTCTGCCGGCCAGCGCGGTCAGCCAGCCGGCCAGCGCGCGCAGCGGGGCCGCCAGCAGGCGGGACATGCCCGCCTTCTGCTCCTTGGTCAGCAGCAGGCCCAGCGCTTGGACGGCCGCCAGCACGGCGAAGACAGCGACGCTGAGCAGGTCCATGGCGACGGTGGTGGCGAGCCGACGGGGTCTGGCCAGGCAGAGGACTACACAGACCGGCAGCCGCGCGCGCCGTTTTAAGTAGCCGACCGCGTTGAAGCAGTGCCGGCCAATCAGAGCGCGGGACGGCGGCAGGCTTCTGCCCCCTCCTCGTGCGGGACAGGCCCTCACATTACGGCCTCTCTCGGTGGGGGTCAGGTGCTGCTTCTGCCGCTCCTTTGACCAGCTGAAACGGTGAGTGCTGCATGCGGCTGATGCCTGGGGGAGAGTTGCGGTTGCGGGTGGAAGAAGTAAACTCGGAAACTTTCCGAGTGCGTGTAGGTGATCTGACCCAGTTCAAACTATGATTTGCGTGGCAGGTATGCCCAAATTGTGCACATTTTTAGCACATGGGTTTTGTGAGTGTAAATGAAACTGTCGCGAAACGTTCGATGGTTGGGCATATACATGCACCGATTACGCCATGAGTTACAACTATGTCATACGCCGTGCTGCACTTTCACAGCAGGCTTACTGCTGCTTTTTTGCTTTTATTTGTCTGCTATGAAATCGGACAAACTCGAATGTCTAACACGGTCATTGTGTGTTTAGTTCGGCATCCATACAATCCATTCCTAACCAGATCCACCATGCAATAACTGAAGGAGTTAATAAGTGCGTGGTACTGAAGGAGTTAAGCATAAAACGTTGCAAGACACGAAATGCCCTCAGCTGGACATCTCACTTACTGGCTGTCCTAGCTGCTTTGTTTGGGCGATGATTACACACCTCAGACCTCTGGCCTTTGCCCGTTCTTTAAAATGATATCCCTATTGCGTAAATAATTGCATTGTAGGATCGTGTACGCATTTTACGTTGTCGTGTTCTTTCCACTCCATACGCACAGAAAAAATCGAGGCTAAATTATGAGAGAGGCTTGCAATGTATGGTCGCGTTCACTGAGCAGGCCTGTGACATAGAATGCCTGCTAAATAATTGCTATTCAGCGAGAGTTAATCGTGAGCTTAAGCCATTGTATGGCTCATGACATGTGGAAGACGGGACACTGTTTCTGAAAGTCACTCATGCAAGTAGGGCCAAAACAGATCCTGTGCAGTCTGCTGGAGGGGACCTACAGCCGGGATTGCTGCATCTAACAGATCCTGTGCAGTCTGCTGGAGGGGACCTACAGCCGGGATTGCTGCATCTAACAGATCCTGTGCAGTCTGCTGGAGGGGGACCTACAGTCGGGGTTGCTGCATCTAGACAGTACGATGTAAACACTTGACAGTGACGTCTTTACGTACGATAACGCATGCATGTAGCCATGAATTAATCGTGGTTAAAGATGTGTTGCTAGGGCTTATAAGCCTTCTGAAGTAACAATACCAGCGTTTTATCGGTTGTAAACAAGGTAACGTGCCTGTGAACTCAACTTGCATTGTTCTCGAAAGTTTCATGGAGACGTTAGCTTGAACAAAGGAGCGTACCGAACGCCTCACGGAACAAACCTGATACGCAGATTGGGATATAAACTAGTGAAAGGCAAATCATATTCTCTCATGCCACCCAGCGAGTAGCAACACATTCTGAATATTTAGTTGGAGTTACTTTTCAATAAAGACCAGCATGCTCGTCTAATTAACCCTCCTTGTACGCGATGAATTTCGTTTGGGCCATGAAATTGGAATTGAGCCTCCCTGTATGCTGGGGGGGGGGGGGGGGGCATGACACGCAGTGATTGCGAAATCCACTGAACTGACTTCGTCTTTCTTGGGTTCAATCAGACGGCCAGAGTAAACACACTGTTTGAGACAATTGTTTCAAATATGTTTCCAATGGTGCGCTCAGAAGAGGAAGAAGTAAGGTGAAAAAAGTGCATAATTGGTGGATCCAAACAATGACGTAACCCAAAAAATGGGCTCAGGCAGAGTGAGGTACTATTTAGGTCCACATAAGCCGTTTGCATGCCGTTACGATGATGTATCTACACAAGCCGTTTGCATGTCATTACAATGGTGTGCTTACACAAGCCGTTTGCATGTCATTACAATGATGTACCCACACAAGCCGTTCACATCTCAGAGGTGGACTCAGGCACATGGAGGCAGGTGAGTGCATGATGCGTTTGGTTGATGCTCCTCATCTACTCTGGTTGCTTTTGATTGAAATGAATAAAAGTAGCAATCGCAGCTAGATACCAAAAAGATACGCTTTTCAAAGCTCCGAGAGCTCACTCAAGGCTGGTTTCAGCATACTCGTTATATATATATATATATATATATATATATATATATATCAGCATACTCGTTAAAACCGTGTTCAGTTCCTGTACACCGCTCCAGTGCCATGTTCTAAAACACTAGCACGCTCGAAACCATGGCCTGCATTCCTGACAATTTCTCTCGAAGAGCCGGTCTTTAATTCACAAGTGAAGCCTTTAACACTGTTCTCCTGAGGCTATGGCCACCCTAAGGAGGAGTCTGAATGGCACTCACTTTCGAACGAACCTCGTGCAGTGCCTCTATAAAAGCTGCCGGAAAGCATGCAACCCGTCGGCACGATACAACCGTGCAGGTCGTCTTTGCGACGAGCAGAAAGTTCACCCGCGATAATGCACCAGCGACCTTCTCGAGGTCAAACGATGAAAGAAGACCGATGCAGGTGACGATGCCCTTTACCGCGCTCTGTGCGGCACGTGCTAATGATGCGCAGAGATCTGGGGCCAGCGGAGTACCGGACATGGCGTATGACGGTCTACTGTCGATCAATGATTATATCAGGAATTTACGCGCAGCTCCCAAATGCACACGAGTGGTGCTTCCCAGGGGCCATGGCAGGCCCTAGCCGTACAGCAGCACACTCCTAATTGGTGGGTCCAAACGTCAGTAAGTATGGGCGCCGACAGCAGCCTGCTTAACCCCCTGCTTATAAGCTCCGGACACTGCCTCGACCGGGAACTGAGTACCTGCGTAGGTACTCTCACTGGCATGCGGCACAGTAGGGCACTGCGCAGCTCTGGCGGCACGCGGCGGGCTGGCCGCGGGCTGCCGGGCGCGGGGCCACTCAGCGGCGAGCGAACTCGGCATCCGCGCCGTTCCGGCAACGCGGCCAACTTTGGCGCCAACTCACCCGGCCAGGCCGTGACGACGTCAGAGGCGACCCGGTGACGGCACCAGCCGGCGGTGCGCGGCGTGGGTCTGATGTGGCCGGGTGTGCCGGGCCCGGGAGGCCGGCGCGGCTCGGCTGCTCTCGCTGCCGACGGACCACCACCGCGTCACCTCGCCGGGCCGGCCGGCCGGCCGCTACAGCTGGGTGAAGCAAATCACCAATTCCACGCGTTCCGCTCCCTCTTGGGAAATGCATGCGTAAAATCCCCTGAAAACCGATTCAGTTCATCATCCGGTTTTGCAAATGAAATGTCGACATTGAACCGGCGACATCCATCACCAGGAATTAACTCTTGGCAGCCCGGTCTTGGCAGAAAACAAGGATGAAATCAAAACAGCGGCGACCACGACTACTTAACACAATCACATGTTAACACAGCTTACTACAATTCATTGACACAAATTTCCGGGCTTCATTCCCGAATGTTTTATGTCACAGCACTTCTCTGTGGATCGCCACCTCGAAAAGACGTATCTTATCAGACGGTAAGATGCGTCTTTAAGATAAGATAAGGTAAGATATCAGAAGATACGTCCATCAGACTTATCTTAGTGGTTGCAGGGTGACCTCGACTTACGTGAGGAAACTCAGAGTATTTGCGGTAATGCACCTCATGCACCTGCTGGGAACACTCAAGCGGCGCGCGCGTACTTCCCGGCGCCCGCCCGCCGCCACGGACAACGGCTCGCTGACGTAATGTGCCGCAGTGACGGCGGCCGAGGCTCAGCTTCCGGGATGCTCTCCTCCACGGCACGGCACGGCACGTCTGAGCTGTTGCATGCGCCCGCGGCAACGGCCAGTCTCCGACGAGACGGCAGGCGTCCGCCGGGAGACGCCGCGCGTCTCCTGCCGGTCTCCGGCGCCGCAACCGGCGTCGGCTCGGCTTCCCGGCGCATGCCAAGCGGCCCATCGGTGTCAGCGGTGTGTGGCCTTGGTCGCTGCAACGCGGCGACCGTTACAGGCAAGCCGTATTTGATCACGGAAAAGCTCGCATCTGTAAAAGTCAGCTGCGGTTCCTCGTGGAGATTGGACGCCAAACAGTCCAGTTTGGGGCTGGCTCACTCTCAGCTAAACAGAGGCTGCCGTTAACATTTTCCTCAGCAGAACTTAGCTTAACCAGCCAGCGCATCCTCGTCCTTTTCCCCGTCCTTGTCCTCATCCTCGCTAGCTTTTTATGACCTCGTTTACTTAACACAATAACAATGAAGATATGAGGCCACATATTTGGCATTTCATCTATATTTCGTGACAAGCAGTAGAATACCGATTATGTTGGCGGGCGGCTGCAACAGAAGTGGCTTCTTCAACCTAGATACGATATTTCAAGGAGCATTAGTATACTAACGAGCTGGTTGGCAGCAAATTATTGTGCGCATAAATTGCATTCAGTCAGTTCAAGACGAGTGCATGATACCCCTTGTTGAAATTTCCGGCCGGTTTTGCGGCGCTCACAATGATAATTAAATAATACCAATTGCTGTACTTTATAGCACCATTAGCTTTTCCGGTCATCTCGCGCCGATCTGTAGTTGTTGAACTGTACGTTGGTTGCAACAAGGATGGCGAAACACCAACTGGCGGTCCGAATCAACCCGCAATTCGTTATATGGCCATGTTTAAGCCCTGTGCCACCTACGCGCTGCAGTCCCTCTACCACTATTCACATTGCTGAAAGTTCACAAAAAAACATTGCAAGGCCTGGGGAATCCTAGCATTGAGCTCAAACTCGGCACCAGATGTCAGGATGTAACAATTCCTTTATCATTTGCTCCAGTCTTCCAATGTTGTCGACGGCCTGAACAACGAGCGACTTTGAATGAGAACACCAAGTACACCAACCAGGTTGGCATCTT